AATTGGTTATTGCATTGATCAGAATTCCTACATTTTTAAAAGTTGGATGCTTTTATAGTATTGTTGCTATTGTATAAATTCTTCTCTTGGTTCTGTTAACTTCACTCTGCATAGGTTCATACAAATCTTTCTAGGTTTCTCTGAAACCATCTCTTTTATAATTTCTTATAATACCTAAGTATTCCATTATATTCCTATACCATAATTCAGTCAGCCATTCTCTAATTGATGGGCATTCCCTCAGTTTCCAATTCTTTGCCACCCCTCCAAAAGCTACTATAAATATTTTTGTACATATGAGTCCTTTTTCTCTTTCTTTGATCTCTTTGGAATACAGACCTAGTGGTGTTATCCCTAGTGGTATTATGCCAAAGGGTTTGCCCAGTTTAATAACTTTTTGGACATGGTTCCAAATTGCCTTCCAGAATAGCTGGGTAAATTCGCAGCTCTACTAATAGTGCATTAATGTACCTATTCTTCCATAGTTCCTCCAGCATTTGCCTTTTTCCTATTTTGGTAAACTTTTCCAATCTAATGAATGTGAGGTGAAACTTCAGATTTGTTTTAACATGCATTTCTTTAATAATTAGTGTTTTCAGAGCATTTTTTCATATTGCTATTGATAGCTTGGATTTCTTCCTCTGAAAACTGCCTGGTTATAGCATTTGACAATTTTTCAATTCGTGGAATGGCTCTCATTCTTAAAAATGTAGTCAGTTGCCTATATATCTTACAAACAAGACCTTTATCAGAGAAACTGACTGCAAAGATTTCCCATTTATCTACTTTTCTAATTTTTGTTGCATTTTTGTTTGTATATTTAAAGCTGTGATCATTAATTTTGTATTTCCCTTTATGCTATTCACTTATATTTTCCCTTCTCTTTATTTCTTACTCCCTCTTTATAAAGAAGAAGAGGGTGGTGAGAAAGAAGTGTGGTCAGCATAGGTTTCTAGATTTGGTACAATCTGCTTCTGCTTCCTTGCCCCTCTTCTCTTTCCCTCACCTACAGCCCAATCCCAAATTCTTATCTTTTCTTTCAAACTCCTCTTTCAGATCCTCCCTAATTTGATTTTTTTCTTAGGACTAATCCTTTAATCTGCTCTCTCTTTTTTTCCTCCTCTTTTCTCCCCTTTCCTTTCTGTTTCCTTGTTGAATGAAACATATTTCAGTACCCAACTGTGTGTGTATATATTTTTCCCTCCTTTGACGAGTTCAGATGAGAGTGAGGTATAAGTGTTGTCTGCTCCCCAGTTCCTCTTTGTATAGACTTATATTTGCATACTCAGAATATGTAAAATAATTTCTCCTCTCCTTCCCTCCTCCCAAATGTATTTCTCTTCCCCTCCCCTTTCTATTCTTTTAAAGATCATCAAAGCATAACAAAACCACTCTCAGGACCTCTGACTGATCAGACTCTATGACTCCTGATGATAAGACTTTGAGGGGATACAAATATGATCTTCCCATATTAGAATGTAAGCAGTTCGTCCTTGTTTATTGCCTTATGATTCTTTAATTGTGTCTACCTTTTTATGTTTTCTTAACTCCTATGTTTGAACTTCAGAGTTTCTACACAGCTCTAGTCTTTTCATCTGGAATAGTTAAATGTCCTCTATTTCATTAAAGATCCATTTCCCCCCCCCCCCCCGTATGATTATGCTCAGTTTTGCTAGGTAGGCTATTCTTGGTTGTCTTTTTTTTTTTTTTTGCCTGCAGGATATCACATTCCAAGCTCTCCACTTTTTTATAATGGTAGCTGCTAACTTGTGTGTGATCCTGACTGTTGCTCCTCAGTCCTTGAATTCTTTTTTTCTGAGTGTTTGTGGTATTTTTTTTTTTAATCTGGAAGCTCTGCATTTTGTCTGTACCATTACTGGGAGTTTGTATTTTGAAGTTTATTTCAGAAAGTGACCAGTTAATTCTTTCATTTCTTTTCTAATTTTTCCTCTAGTGACATTTCACTTATAAAAACATTTTATTTTTTTAAAAAGCCACTGTTGTTTCATCTCTACCAGATATTCTAGTTAAACTTGTGCCCAAACTGTGTTTTTCTTTAAATCTTTTCTTGTAGATGTTTTGGAGTCATTTTCTTCTTCTGGGTTTGTGTCGACCATCCCTATAACCATAACAACTCTTTATGGTGGGATTCTTTTTTTTTTTTCTTTGTTCATTCTTGCAGCATACTTACTGACTTTGTTAGAGCCAGGCTCTGTGCACTTTTGGAGGTAACGTCTGGATTAAGCTTTTGAGTGTTGTGTTTTCTAGGATTTCAGGGACAATTCAGGCTGGAAACCTACAAGCTTTCAGTGCTTCCACAGTGGACTGATCCAAGTCTGATCACCACCCTTCTTGTTTGAACTCTGTAAGCTTCTGACCTTGGTTTGGGTCTGAGCAACATACCTATGGGCTTGCCCCTGGTTAGAGTTCTAGTAGACTGCTGCTGAACTCAGTCTGGAAAACTTTCTTGGTTCAGTGACAGAACTATAGGCTTTGGTCTGGGTTTCCCTCTCTGGTTATTGGATTCAGACGGGGCTGGAGTCTGGAAATGACATGCTGCTCTTCCTGGGGTCAAAGGCACACAGTTATTGCTTGGTTCTGAATCTGTGTCTTGCTCCGTCTTTAGCTTATGGCTCATGATGACTACTTGCCTTGGACTGCCATCCCTAGGTACAGGTCCCCTCTTCAGTCCTCCCTGGATCTGGGCAGTGAGCAACAGAACAGCCAGTGAAGAGCACTTGTTCCTGAAGGCTTTATAAGGTCAGGCAGCTCTGGATGGGCCTAGGACCACTTTGTTCCCCAGGTACAGCCTTGGTCTTCTTGTGGTCTCTGAAGTGTAATGCTTGGTGCAGCATTTTCTAACTACATTCCATCCCAAGTGTCCATTGATCTCTCTGTTGATCTGTGTTGGAAGAATGATTCACTGAGATCTTTTCTTGGATTTCCCTATTAGGATTCTGGTTCCTTTTCTGGATCTTTGTGGAGGAGTTTTGGGGGAGTGCTAAATTGTACTTCTTCCCTTGCACTACCATCTTGGCTCTGTGGAATTAGGGTTAGAAATAGAATTGGTAGTATGGGAAGTGAAACTGATTGAACCTCGGTACTCATTTGCCATTGCTAAAGTGAGAGCCATCATCCTAGCTGACAGAGCTTTGTAGGACTCCCAGTCAAAAAGAGGTGCCTGTGTCCTGAGAAGAACTCAGTGAATTAACACCCTGCCCAACTCAGAGGATCCTTGTGAAGAGTCGACCAAGAGCCATGACTGATCCAGCCCAACCGCCGCCTGACCCTTCCAGGTAAGACAAGGCACCCAAAGAGGAGCAGCCCAGCTGAGCTGCTGGTCCATCGGAGATGCTGTACACTGCAAGAAAATGGCTCTTCAAAGAGCCATCCAAAGCTAAACAACAGCAGAGCAACTCAAAGGAAACTTTCTTGGTGAAAAAAAAAAGTCCTGGGATTCTGGAGTTGTGAACGGCCTTGATTACCTGTGCCTCATCGCCACCCATTCTTAAGTTCACGTCCACTATTTTCCTTTCCTGGCATCTGGGTGTGTTTGTGGGAAAGCAAGCTCCTGATAATTGGGGGGAAATGCTTGTAACTACTGTCCTTGCTATGCTATTAGAGTAAATGCCTTTGCTGTAGGCCAGACTCCACTGGCTAATTAAGGTGACCTCCCCGACACCCCTTCCCTCCTCTGTGCTCTAGCATATAGGGGGATAACAACTCACAGGGTTGCTTAAAACTTGAACTCCGGGAGTTGCAAAGGCCACCCTTCTGGGGACCTAAATGAATGAGCCCTAGGATGGGGTGGGTGTCATGTAGGAGGTGGCCCTGATTGAGAAGTCACTTCAACTCTGAGATTAAATTCCCTCCTCTGTAAAATGAGGAAAATAGGAATAGGAGTAACTACACCCTTCCTCAACCCCAAGGTTGTGGTGAAGATCAAGTGAGATCACATATGTAAAGAGCTTAGAGTCCTTCCAGATGCTCACTCTGTGTCCCAAACCTCCTCCCTTTAGAAGGCATCACCGGTGATCCCATCCCAGTTCACAGGCCCTTTTTGGATACAAGAGGACCCTCAGATCCAGAGAGGGGGATATGACTTGGCCATGGTCAATTAGTAGCAAAGCCAGGATTCAAATTCGTCCTCAGAGGCCTAGTTTCAGGGTTCCTTTATGCTATTTCTCAATCGACCCTCATTTATTTTTCAAGCGACGTCCCCCAGAGTCTCTCGGGGCGCCCCCTTTCCCCTAGCATTTAGACGCTCTTCTGTGTAATTTTAGAGTGGAGTTCTCTGGTCTGTAAAATGAAGGGGTGGGGCGAGATGACCTCTGAGGTCCCTGCCAGCCCCAGGCTCTGCTTCTAAGTCACTTTCCCCTCTCTAGGCCTTATTTCCTTGCAAAATGAAGGAGAGGAGGGGGAATGGGACCGATTGGCCTCTTAAGTCTCTTCCAGCTCTGGTCTCTAGAAGAAAGGCTAGACAAGAGTATGACTCCTCACAGGCAATACTGTCATATGAGAAAGGGGCCTGATTGCGAGCCCCCACCCTGTGGCCTCTTCTTTCTCCGGCTCCTTCCCCGTCACCCTTCTCTCCTTGGGTTTCCTCTCTTTTCTGGGGCTGACCCTCCCTGGTGTCCCCCCGTCCTCCGCCTCCGCCCCTCTCCTCCGGGCTCGGGGAGCAGATGCGCCCCCTCCCCTCCCCTCTCCTCCTTTCCCCTGCCCTCCCCATCCCTGCCCCTCCTGCCGCTGCCGCCGCGGCCGCTGCAGCTGGTGATGCGATTCGCCATTGGATTAAAAATAGCCTGGTCCCCCTCCCTGCTCTCCCGCGCCCCGCCCCGCCCGGGCTCTGGCCGCCTCGCGCCGCCTGCCTGCCCCCGTCCGCTCGGCCGCCCGGGCCCCGCAGCTCCGCTGCCCTGCCTCCGCCTCCTCCCGCGTCCGTGCCGGTGCCACCGCGGCCGCCGCCTCCTCGTCCTCGTCGTCCTCCTCCCGCGCCCGGCTCCCGCGCCCGGCCCCCCGCCGCTCCCGCCCTCCCTCCGGCCCTCCCGCGCGCGCGGAAGCATGCAGCGGGCCGCCCTGTTCGGCAGCCCTGGCGGCGGCCCCGGCGGCGGCAGCGGCCCCGGTCCCGGCCCTGGCCCCGGGAAGATGGCTGCAGGAGACCTCGGGGAGCTGCTGGTCCCTTACATGCCCACCATCCGCGTCCCCAGGTCCGGGGATCGAGTTTACAAGGCGGAGTGCGCCTTCTCCTACGACTCCCCGGTGAGTGCTGGCCAGGCGCGGGCTGGGCGGTGGGGGGAGGCGGACGCGGGGTGAAGGGTGGGGGGCTCTGCCGGAGAGAACCATCGATCCCGTCAGACAGCCCCCCACTAGGAGTCGGGCTGGGGAGATGTTCCCCACCCCCCGGCCCCTCCCCGATCACTCTCGGGGTTAATGCACAGTGCACCCACCGCGCGCGTCCACTTTGGGGAGCTTTGGAACTGAGCACCCGCCCCTCCAAGTCCCCAAGCCTTGGGCTACGGGAGCCAGGGAGCTGCGGCCGGGAGCTCTCCTTCTGAGCCAGCTACCCTTAGAACCCTTCCTGCAGCTGGCTGTCCAGGCTGAGGTTTGGGGCCCCTCTGACCCACCTCCCAATCTGGCCCCAACTCGATGAACCCTCTCAAGTGCACAATCTGTCCCCTGCCCCCAAGGCTGCAGGCAGTGGATAGGACCCGGACACACACAACCAGCACCTTCTTTTTCTGGGACTGTAGATTCTGTTTAGAGATTCCTAGTCTCTGGACCAGCCCTCCAGAGTTCTGAGTTCTGTGATTTTGGTGGTTCCCCTCCACCCCCCTCCCCTTGCTTCCTTTCTGAATGACAGGAAAAAACAGTGCTGTGGCACAAGTAGTCCTAGGGTTTCGAGTGCATCATGATTACTTTTACTAAACTTCCTTTCCCTCCTTCCCCCCCAACGTGAGGTTTGGAGCTTGAAACATACCAACACAAATTTGAAAAACTTTAACCCAAATCTTGGCCTCAGTGGCTAGAGGAGGAAGTGAAGGGTAGATTACAGTTGTCAGGGCCAAGCATGAGTGGTTGGCTGGTGGCTTTCAGATTTCCATGGTTTTTGTGCGTGTGTGAAATTTAAAACAAACAAACAAACAAACAAACGAAGAAACAAACCCAAAAAACAACTGAGTCCCCCTTTGGGGAGTCAGAAAGCACTTCCCAAGTCACTCAGCTGTGTGGCGTTCATCATGTCTTTTTGAGGACTGGTTATTTTTACCCACACCCTTTGGAGCTCATGTGTCATCCAGCAGGTCTCCCTCTGGCTGCAGAGGGAGTTGTACTGGGGAGGGGGTGAGTTGGCTGAATCTCTCCAACACTCAGCACCAAAGCAATGACAACCTTTGACATGCAACCCATCAAGAAGGCAAACCAGCTTGTGGGATGCTCCAGAGACATGTCTTACCATTCTGCTAGACTCTTTTGGTTTCAAAGTACTTTTTGCTCCCTGGCTAACTAGGGAGCATTCATAGGATCATAGCTTAATGATTTTGTAATCTACCCCTCTTATTTTGCAAATGAGAAAAGTGAGGCCGGAAATAGTTTTTATGATGCTGACAATTTGTGAACTGTTGTCTATTTTTCTTTTATGACTTTTGAATGAAGATCACAGGATTATGGCTGATCACAGGGGCTGTCTTTGGCCTTTCTTTGTATCCTCAGTGCTTAGTATCTTGCTTGGCACATAGTAGGTGTTTAATAATTGTTTATTGGCTGATGGACTAATGAGCAGGAAGGGACCTAAAAAACCATTTAGTCCAAACGTCCTCATTTTACAGGAAAGGAACCAGAGGCCTAGAGAGGGTAGGTGGCTTGTCACAAAGCTAGCAAGGGGCAGAGCTAGGGCTCCTCTAGAGTTCTCTGATTTGAAATCACTTTTCTCCTTCCCTCCATGTAAGCTGCTCATTTTCTTTTAAACTCGAGAAGTCTTTCTGAGCCTTTCTAGGACCATCTCTTGAAAACTTGATGGTGTTTCTTTCTTAATCTTTAGGATTCTATTGATCATGATACCGGAGGCCACTGTCAAGAATGCCATTAGAATTTCTTACTATTAACAACATATTTTAAAATAATGGATTTTACATCCCATGATTTTGTATTCCTCGACCTAGCTCCTAAAAGGGTTAAGATGGATGAGGCAAAAGCAACGGGCATGTTACAAAGCATTGAAAAAAACCAGAACTTTCTGAATTTCTTAGAATATTAACTTGGTGGCAAGGTGAGTTGGAGGGAGTTGGATTTGGAGGCAGAGGCTCTGGGTTCCAGTCCTAGCACTGCCACTTCTTACCTTTGTGGCCTTGGACAAATCACTTTATTTCTCTGGGACTTGCTTCCCTCCCTGTTAAAATGGAGTTAAAATTGGACTAGATGGCTTCGGAGGGTCTTTCCAGCTCTCCACATTCTGTTCAATCCACCCTCTCTATTTCGTGGAGAGTAGAATGCTTACAAGTGAGTGTTTCTTTCTCTAAACGAGTTAGTTAACAAGCATTTATTAAACTCCTGCTTTGTGTCAAGACTGTGTTGAGTGCTTAAGGTACAAATAAAGGCAAAAAACTCAACCTGTTCTCTGAAGTAGCTCACAGTTGAATGGGAGACAATATGCAAACAACCATGTACAAACTATATATTCAGCATAAATTGGAGATTATTTTAGAGGGAAGGCAGTAGCATTGAAGGGGGGATTGTGAAAGGCTTCTTGCAGAGTGTGGAAATTTAGCTGAGACTTCAGGGAGTCTGGGAGGTGGAGAGAGACAGAGAAAGGGAGAGAGAGGGGGAGAGAGAGAGAGAGAGAGAGAGAGAGAGAGAGAGAGAGAGAGAGAGAGAGAGAGAGAGAGAGAGAGAGAGAGAGAGAGAGAGAGAGAGAAGGCTTGGAGAATAGCCAGTGAAAATGCCCAAGGGTTGGAATGTTGTCTGCAAGAAGGCCAGTGTCACTAGACTGAAGGGTATGTGGAGACAAGTTAAGTGTAAAAAGTCTGGCAAGGTAGACATGGATGAGGTTATAAAGGGCTCTAAAAGCAGAAGAAGATTTTATACTTGATCTTGGAGGTGACCAGGAAAGTACTGAGGCTTTTTTGACTAACTGGGTGACATGGTCAGACTTGAGCTTTAGGAAGATCAGCCTGACAAGTAAGTGGAGGCAGGGAGACCAGGCAGCAGTCCCAGCATGAGGCAATGGGTTCCTGCACCCAGGTGGTGGAGGTGTCAGAGGAGAGAGGGGAACGTTTAGGGGAGATGTTACAGAATCATCTAGAATGATACGGTGGAGCAAACAGCTGTCTTGGAAATAGGCATTTTCGTCATTGTCCTGGTCTGGTTTGTAAGAGAAAAGCATGTTCAGTTCAAACTAACAATTATCCGTTCGGCACCTACTATTTGCCGTACTATCTTGCTGGTGTTGTGGATACAGAGAAACATAAAAATCAGCCCCCGCCCTTAAGGAGTAGAGTGGAGCATGTACACACATAAATAAATGCAAATTACATACAGATTCACTGCTGAGGTTGGAGAGAGAAAGCCAGCAACTGAGGGGATCAAGAAAGTTCTCTGTAGAAGGAGCAGCTGAAGGGAGCTGGGGGTCCCAAGAGGATGAGGTGAGGAGAGTTTTGCTGTGCTTTAGTTCGGACTATGACAGCATCAAGACGGCAAAGTGGATTGAGCTTCAGATTTGGAGTCAGGAAAATTGAAGTTCAAATCAGGCTCTTACTAGTGGTATGGAACTGGGCAATCTCTGGTTTCAACCTCAGTTTTCTCATCTGTAAAATGGGGATAATAATAATAGCACTGAAGTTACACATAGGGTTGTTGTGAGGAGCCCATGAGAGAACATTTACAAAGCGCCTGGCCAACATTAAGTGCTGTATAAATGCTAGCTATTGTTGTTAATTTGGGCTTAGAGCTAGAAGGCCATCTACTACAGACCAAGGTGGTAATAAGAGTTGTAGTGGTAATAGCTAACATTTATATAGTGCCTACTGTGTGCCAGGCACTGTGCTAAGCTCTTTACAATTATTATCTCATTTGATCCTCATATTAACCCTATAAATTTGGTGCTGTTATCTCTGTTTTACAGATGAAGAAACTGAGGCAGACTTGCCTAGTTTAGTTTACTTGTGACTTGCCTAGAGTCATACAGCTAGTAAAGTACTAGAGCTGAGATCTGAGCCCATTGCTTCTGATCTTGCCGATGTCCCACACTCTCTTGTACTTCCCAGACAGGGCTCTTTGACAAGGATGGTGAATCAACATATTTTTGTTAATCTGTAAGACAAGGAGGAAGACAGGGGAGATTTTTGTTGTGTTAAAGCAGGGGAGGCTTGGGGGAGAGGTTAGAGAACTGGATTTTGTTGTTGTTCAGCTGTGTCTGACTCTTTGTGACCCTGTGGACCATAGCACTCCAGTACTGTCCATGGGGTTTTCTTGGCAAAGATCCTGGAGTGGTTTGCCATTTCTTTGTCCAGTGGATTAAGACAGAGGTTGAGTGACTTATCCAGAGTCATATAGCTAGTTAAGTGTCCCAGGCTGTATTTGAATTGGCTTTAGAATTAGACAGATCTAAATTTAAGCCCTGCCTCTGAGACAAGTGACTTAAGTTCTTACTGCTCCAAGAAGCTCCTCTGCTTCCAAGTTGCAGAGCGGCTACCAGACCTATATTGGTGGAACAAGGTTCCTGATTGGGAATTCCCTATAAATCCCAATTCAGTTCAGAAAGATGAAAAAAGAAAGTGACATAGTACCTAATATAGTTCAATATTTGATAAAGCATTTTTTTAAAATAAAGACAGCCTTTTATGATGCTCTTCAACTCCAGAGAACTATTTGGAATCCTATTTCCCATAAAAATTTCTTGCTCTGAAATAGATTTTTTTGGGGGTTAGATAATAAGATTTAGATTTGGGAGGGACTTTCATTTTTATTTCTGAGGAAACCTAAGCCCAGAGAAATGGCAGGTCTGGTAATAAGTAGCTGAGATTCAAACCCTAGTCTTCTGACTTGAAATCAATCACTCTTTCCATGACCTCCTGGTACTTTAGAGAATGTGAGTGCTGCAGTTTTGGACTGGCCTCCCATCTTCCCAAAGAACTGATTATCTCTTGTGTCAAATCATCTTGTGATTTCTTAAATAACAGGCTGGCTAATCCGTTTAAATGTTGCTAAGATCAGTAATTTTCATAGCCATATTAAACCATGTTCTACCCCAAGTACCCCTGTTCATA